TCCTGGGGCCGGGCGTGGGGGCCCTGCGCTCGGCCACCGCCCAGGCGAGCCCTGGGGAGGTGTTTGCTTTGCCCACAGCTCCGTCTCCGTACAGTTTTCCTGAGCTCAGAGTCTCATTTCTGAAAACTTCAGTACTTTCTCCGATCTGCACCTCTATCTAAACACAGGCTCAGATCAACAGGGCCGTTTCAGAACGAAACGTCTCTTAGCGCTCGTGTAAAATCATCTGGGTTTGTGTAAGGTGGCCAATATTAAATATTCCGGCCTGTAAAGGAAATCAAATACATCTATTTGTAACACGTTTCTCCGCGTACAGAAAACGGTCGACTTTGGTTGTTTATGATCACGCCTGCTTTTTGGCCCCTGTCCATGGAAAATCTCTGCTCACTTCTTACTTCTGCATCTTTTCCCTTCTGGCACCTCCTCGTCCCATCACGTTCCCTCTGTTTCTAGTTTTTATGTGTTCTTCATTAAACTGCCGTCCACGTGACCGCCTTTGCCTATTGCTTGCCTTGGCCTATTCAGGAGAAAAAGGCCTATGAAAACGAGTCCAGCTTGGATGATGGTCCCGTATCTCTCGAGCAGGCGGTCACCGGGCCCCCCGCAGCGCCTACACAGACAGAGGGGTCATAATCCCCCGCAAAGACTGATCCAGCTCCAGCTTAAACCTAATTACAGCGGCCGTCTGCCCGTTCCCACCTGGAGCCGGTTCCAGCATCCCCTTGCTCCCCTGGCGCCTTTCTGGGCTCGGTTGGTTTGGGATGGGTTTATTGTCACCGGCTGTCCCCGCGCCAGTGCCGGTCCTTCCGAGTGCCACGTTAAAGCAGCCGGCTCAGGACGGCTCACAGAACCAGAGCACCGGGAAGGGGCAGGGAAGAGGGCAGAGCCTGCAGTCACGCTTCTCTATCGCCCAGCACCTCGCTGCTGCCCGCGCCCCACGGGCACCTCGTCCCCTGCCCCCGGCCTCCTCCCTCCCTCTGGCTGGGGAAGGAAAGACCAGCCAGGCCAAATCCCCCTGGGGAAGCCGAGCGCGGCGCCTAATCCCGGGGAAGCAGGCGCGCAGGG